ATTATCATAGAATAGTAGAGTAGCTTTAGGATGATCAACCCCTAGATCAGTCAACACCTTCTTAAGCCAAATAATTTCACAGACTGCTGCTGCCATGGCCTTGTATTCCACTTCAACTGATGGCCTTGATATAGTATGTTGCTTCTTTGATCGCCAGGATATCAAGGACCCTCTAAGAAATATGCAAAACCCTGTAACTAGCCTACTTGTATTTGCACACGATGCCCAATCTGCATCACAAAAAGCTTTGAGCTCAAAATCAGAATCTGCTGCAAAGAATAACCCTTGCCTTGGTGTTCCTTTCACATATTTGAGCACATGGTGTGCGGCATCTAAGTGAGCTTTTCTAGGGATTCAAGATATTGACTTAGAGCCTGCACTGAGAATTACAAATCTAGTCTTGTAATGGTCAAGTATAACAGCCTTCCAATTAGCCTCCTATACGTTCCTGGATCATATAGCAACTCCCCTTGATCTTTAGTCAATTTTAGACCCTGCAACATAGGACATTTTGCAGGCTTTGATCCTAAATAACCTGCATCTTCAAGGATTTCCAAGGTATACTTACGTTGACCGACAACAATGCCTTTAGATGATCTTGCAACTTCAAGCCCCAAAATATATTTTAAGACTCCTAAATCCTTCAGCTTGAACTAATTGTTTAGACTCCTTTTAAAATGCTCAATGTATGTCAGATCATTTCCTCCTATTATGATGTCATCAACGTAAATGAGCAGCATAGTATAAGAGCAGTCAGTTCTCTTGCTGAAAAGTGAGTAATCAAACTTAGATTGAACAAATCCTTGAGATATGATGAAGGATGACAGCTTGGTATTCCATTACCTTGAGGCTTGTTTCAATCCATAGATAGATTTGTTAAGTTTGCATACCAATGTGATACCATTCTATCCTTTCTGCTCATACCCTAGAGGCATCTTCATATATACTTCTTCCTCAAGGTCTCCATGAAGGAAGGCATTGTTTATGTCCAGCTGGTGGAGGTGCCAACTTTTACTGGTTGCAGCTGCCAACAATGCCTTGACAGAAGCTAACTTAGCCACAGGAGAAAAAGTTTTCTGATAATCAAGGCTAGCCTATTGAGTGAATCCCCGTGCAACTAACCTCGCTTTCTTTCTATCTTCAGTTCCATCTAGCTTAAGTTTGATCTTGTATACACACTTGCAATCAACGGCCTTCTTATTTGCAGGAAGTGAGGTGATTGTCCAGGTATTATTATTAACTAAAGCTTGATATTCATCATTCATGGCTTGACGCCAAGCTGGGGATTGAATTGCCTCCATAAAATTCCTTGGCTTAGCATTAGTAGATAGTGACAACACATAGGCCCTGTGAGCTGGTGAATTTTAATCATAATCTTAAGTGTTGGATAGATCATAGGATTTTCTAGCACCATGATTGGGAGTAGGTGAGGCAGAACGTTGTTGGGAACGCTGAGAGGCTAGGTCACAATGGAATTGTTGTAGACAGCTGGGAGGTTTTCGAAGTCTAGTAGATCTGCGAAGAGGATTGACATTTGAATGTTGTGAAGTAGATGGAGGGATAGGATTGGATATAGGTGAGGATGGGGATAAGGACACAGGAGTAGAGGTGGAAGGTGGCAAGGATGGACTAGGCTCTAATGGTAAAGATGATGTATGAGGAATGCAATTTGATATAAGAGGAGATGAAGGGGGGAATAAAGGGCTTGTAGAGATTGAGTAGAAGTTGCATCATAGTAACTAAGGGTAGCTAGGAATGTAGGATCATTGAAAGGAAATATATTCTCATGAAAAATGACATCCCTAGAAACAAAAACCTCATGTGTATGCAGATTGTACAGCTTGTATCCCTTTTGAATGGGAGGATAAGCAATGAAGATGCAAGGAACAGCTCTAGGGTCAAACTTATGCCTATGCCTTTCAAGAGTAGAAGCATAGCATGCATGACCAAACACTCTTAAATGAGACTAAGAGGACTTTGCTGAGAATAGGATCTCATAAGGGGACTTGTTTGATAGAGATGTACTGGGTATACGATTAATGAGATATGTGGCTGTCAAGATACAATCTCCCCAAAAATTATCTGGAAGTTTGGCTTGGAATTTTAAAGCTTTAGCAACGTTCAATAAGTGTTGATGTTTACGTTCAACTATGTCGTTTTGTTGTGGTTTCTCAACACAACTCACTTGATATATGATCCCTTTGGAGGAATAAAAGTCAAGTCATGATAAATTCAGCACCATTATTAGATCTTAGTGCCTTAATTTTGGTACTAAACTGAGTTTCAACCATATTGGAAAAGGTTAGGATAATTTGTCTGGTTTGTGACTTAGTTCTCATTAGGAAAGTCCATGTGGATCTACTATAGTCATCCACTATAGTCAAGAAATATTTCGAACCATCAAGTGAATGTGATTGATAAGGACCCCAAATATCACAATGAATTAGCTCAAAAATGAATTGAGAAACATGTAAACTGTGAGGAAAAGGTAATCGATGCTGCTTTGCCATAGGACAAATATTACAATTAAAGTCAGAATTCAACACAATTTCAGGTACAAACTTCTGTAAAGTGGAAATTCTAGAATATGTCCTAACCTATAATGCCATAGTTCAAAAGGCAATCTAGTGACAGCATTAAAACTGGGAACATGGTCATTGTTCATGACTTTATTACAACCAGCATTGAAATGATGAAGAATAGATTTGTTGGCACAAGTAGTGTTTGATGGACCATTGTTTGAAGGAGTACAAAGCTGGTAATGATACAATTCAGCTTCAAGTTTCTCATCTCCAATCATTGTCCATGTAGAACGGTCTTGAATAAGGCAATGGTTAGATAGGAATATTAGGCAACAATGGTGAGAATGAATGAGCTGACTAACAGAAACCAGATTGCATTAGAAAGAAGGAATGCATAAAATATTAGTTAATGATGGATATTTAGACAACTTCACAAATCCTATATGAGTCACATGAGTCTCATCCCCATTAGGAAGTTTAACACTTGCATTTACCTTAGCAGTGATGGAGGATAAATGATTGACAGAATATACCATGCGGTTGTGGCACCAGTGTCAATTATCCATTTATCCTTAACTGCTGAGACTGCTAGACGGTAAGTTTTACCTGAGAATGAGGGAACATCCGGCATAACTAGGTTTGCTTGGCTTTGATTATCAGCATTGCTAGATTGAGGGATCAAATTTGAGAGTTGAGTGTGAAGTTGTGGCTTCAGTATATTGAGAACTTGTTGGCATTGTTTTGTTCCGGTGTGATAGTCAGACTTGAGAAAGCATTTGATAGATCAGAAGAATTAGCATTTCCAGTTACTTGATGTGCACTTGAAATTGGTTCCTTGCCTCTGTCCTTTGCCAACCGATGTCCTGGGGGATATCCATGAAGTTTATAACATTTCCCTTGTATATGCCCAAGCATCCCACGGTAATTGCATTTAGGCCGTTCCTTCCTTGAATTTTGTTTGGTGTGTGCTGATCTCTAGTTACTTCCAAAGTTTGTTGAATTATTGATCAATCTACTTACAAATGCACTAGTTTCCACATTGATTTGACTCCTTGATGCAACATCTCTCTACCTTCCATCTTGTTGAACTAATGCGAACACTTTGTTCAATGGTGGTAAGGGTTCCATTAGTAATATCTGACTTCTTACATTGGAATAGCACTCATCTCACCCCATTAGGAACTGCAATATTTGTTCCTCTTCATAATAAGTATTGTGAGTTTGAGGCCTATAATTTGATAATTCTTCCCATAGCCCCTTCAACTTGTTGAAGTAAGCATTCATAGATCCATTTCCTTGTGTAATTGAAGCAATTAACTTCTTCAATTGATAAATTCTAGGTCCATTACCCTGACTATACCTATCCTTTAATTCTAGACAGATTCCACGGGTTGATTCCTTGTGCATAACACTAGGATAAAACTCCTTAGGGACCGAATTTATGATCCATGATGAAACAATGTGATTGCATCTACACCAAGCCGCATACAGAGGTGATTCTACGGAAGGTCTTGATATAGATCCATCAATAAAACCTTCTTTGTTTTTCACGCTCAAAGCCATTTCCACAGCTTGACTCCACGTCGAGTAATTTTCATCAAAAAGCATAACCGAGACAATCTGCATACCCGTGTTATGTCCATAGTGCATGTAATAAGGACTCGCAGGATCTGAAATCATTCATTGAGCTGTAAGTATCAAGTCTTCGCCACGATTATCAGCTTTTGGTGAAGAATTGTTAGTCAATCCTTCAATTTCAGCATTTGAACTCGTCGCCATGAACGAAAGTCTTGATTACCACTCTGATACCATGTGAATTTTATGCCCTAATTGGAGAGCAAAATGAGAGAGAACACGAATGGGAAAAGAATTTTCGTACTGCTATATGTGATACAATTGTATATATATATATATACACACTTAACGAAAATGACAGCTCAGCTAACTGGTGAATTACATAAATAACCCCGCATTCCTGTAAGAACAAAAGTTCAGAACTTGCAATTTACCATTTGGACACTTTTTTGTCCATCTGAAATATTGTATGTGTTTTGAGCTATATTCTTGGTATTTTTGGCCTTATTACTTAATTATAATATAAAATATTACATTACATTTTGTTTGTTGTTTTATTTTTGGATTTTGAGCTTGAAAACTCGGAATGCACTATGATTTAAGTGCTCAATTTTAATTTTCAACTGGCATGGTGAATAGAGATTTTGTCACCATCAGTATTTTTTCTTCTTTAATTTGGTGCTATAATTAATTTCCGCCCCCTCTTGGTATCTCTGTCAGCTGAAACCATGTAAAATAACACTCTACCTTTTTTTTTTTTTTTTTTTTTTTTTTTTTTTTG